CGTTAACTTTCCTGCTACCGGCGACACATCTGGTGATTCTATAATTTTCCAACCAATCAGCATTCATTTCGGTTTCGACGCGCTCGCCTAATAAATATGTATGCCCCAATCTTTGCGTGTGCAATCGAAAGCCCAACTTTAAAGAAGATCTCGGCTCTCGCCTCGGTTTCACAGCTTGCCGATGAAAGTGGGCGTCAAAGGTGGTGGAAAATATCATTAAGCCGGGCCACCGATATAAAGACTGCAATAATTGCCCAGATCTGCTAATTACGGCAATGAGCAATGAAATTGGCCCCCTACAGCCAGGCTGCCGATTGCACTAAATCTGCAGCGAAGCTTTGCTTAGTGCCTGGCTTAGAGGCAGTTTCCAGCTGCCGGCTGCACTCATCATGCATACTACGCTCTGAATAGCCACCAGCTTTTGTTGCACTGAGAACAATCCCCCGGATGTGTTGAAAACTATTTAAAGCTCTTATCTCGACAAAGAAACACATGTTTTGAACAGCATCTAAAAATACAAAGAAACGCCAATGTTTGGTTAGATTCAAATGCTTCCTTATAGTTTATTAAAATAACGACAAAGTCGTATGTTTAAATTTCCTGGTCAGAAAATGGTTAGTCTACAGAGATTTAATTAATTTTAAATATCATTTAGTTATATGTTTTTTTTTTAGTTATTTATGTGTTTAATAATATGTTTCTTCAGAAGCATTCAATATTTTTTTGAACCATGTTGTAAAAGAATTAAAACAAGAAACATTTATAGAATTTATTTAGTATGTTACTAACACAACTTTTTCCAGTGCACTTATGCTGGCAGCAAAAGCAAAACTAGCTGCAACGGCTGCCTGGCTAATTGTGGCAAGGTAAAGTGTATAAATTTGGCGGACAAACTGGCGCACAAGATCAGTTGGCCAAGAGATTTCCCAGCAGCTGAAGCTGGACGGCATTGAGATAGCAACGAGAGTGAGATCAAAGGATTGGGGATACGCACAGAATGGATTCGCGCCTGGGTCTGCTCATCGCCCTGCTGCTGGCGGTCTTTCATTCCAGGGCCTTGGTGGCCTCCATGCACTCGAGTTTGAATTCCACGGAGAGCGGCTTGCTGCGGACCGTGCGTCATGTGTACGGGCAGTGTGCGGATAGCGAAGACGTCTTCTGGTGCTGCAAGATCCAGGGAGTGCGCCTCCTAGGCCGCGCCCTCAAGGTACAACAACTGGGGATCGTGGACGGCGTGAGCTTGGTGCGCCGGGAGCCCGTCAGCCAGGATACGCGGAGTGGACGCTCCAGCCTGGCCGAAAGCCAGTTGAGCAATCGCGACCTGGAGCACATGTCTGGGAAGAGTCTGGACGCCCTGCTGCTGGACCGGTTCCTCAGCTTTGTCCACAGCCACCAGCTGCAGGTGAACCTGCCGCGCCTGCTGAGGTTTGGCGAGCGAAATGGCCAGGACTGGCTTCAGCAGCTGCTCGGCTATTTTCTACCAGCCAGCGAAAGTGAGGGTCGAAAGAAGAAGGATGACAAAAAGTATCTGGGACCCTTCATCGCCGCCGTTCTGCTGAAGACAGCTATTCTGAAAATGGCCTACCACTCCATCGCCATTGTGGCGGGAAAGGCGCTGATCGTGGGCAAGATAGCCCTGATCATTAGTGCTATAATTGGACTAAAAAAACTGGTTGGCCACGACGGAGGCGAGAAGACCACCTACGAGATCGTTAAGCATCCGCAGGTGCAGCAGAGCCACACCTACTCTTCTAGCCACCAGGGAGAGTACGACACGGGCGGCCACGACGGAGGATCCTATCATCGCAGCATCGACGACGAGATGATGATGCAGGACAAGGCCTACCAGGCCTGGATGCCCCACGTGGGCGCCTCCGCCGCGCCCGCCGCCAAGGGGTCCCGATAAGGGGAGGTCCTGCCGGGGTCAGAAGCTCTACAACCAAAGATCCCAAGAACCCCGATTAGTCCAATCTATTTGAATTTGTATTTACACTCGACAGCCCTCCAGTTTAAGTTTAGTATTCGTAGTTATTATGTTACCACAGAGCGAGCATTAAAAAGAAAAGAATTTCAGGTGAGATTGGTTTTAGTGGGCGGTCGTTCAACAAAAAAAGGGAACAAATTTGGAAACTGTTGAAGGAACCATAGCGCATATTACAGAAAATAGACAAAATACAAACTTGCAATCTTAAACAACACCTGACGAATTCTTCCCAAAACCAAATTTCATTTGACCCATTAAACAAAGCTATCGGAATCTCATACGCCAGAGCCTGAAGGATAGGAAAGCATCCCACAACCCCTACGTCCTGAGCCCAATATGATAAGCTCTTAGCAATCCATGGGTTCGAGACCAATTAACGTACTTCATGAAAACAACAATGCCAAATTGTTGGCAATATTATAAATCCAATGAATCAAACCATTTTAGGCTTTCAAAAAAGTCTTCAAAAATATGGGTGCCACTTCTGCGGTTTGTGAGCGTAACATTATAACTATTTTGAAAAAGAAACTCCAGGTTTAATGTTTGCACTCTAACTTCAACAAGATAGGAAGCTAGCTTCGGCCAGCCAAAGCTTATATACCCTTGCAGATCATTCCTATTAAATTACAAATCGCAAAAATGTTAAATTTCCTATTATTTTGACATTATTTTTTCTGTCTCTCCTATGGCAGCTATATAATAAAGTCGTCTGATTTTTGTTAAATTTAATTCGAAATTCGGAAATATTAAAAGGATATGACGAAACTTTGACGAAATGTAGCTTCTAAACTAATGAATGGAACTCAATTCAGTGTATAACATTATTACCTGTAAAATGTGAAATTAAAAAAGCGTCAAAAACGTTTTTTACACTTAAAAAAAAAATTGATCCATAAAAAAAATTTTATGTGCCATTTTCTTAATCAGGAAGACGTACCTTACCGGAAAACAAAGGTTTTCTTCATGGTATATTTCATCGATTTTTTTTTTACTGGTGTAATTATACTATACTAATGGTTTTAATTCAGCGAAACTTTTAATTGAATTTCCTAACTTAAGCTCGTAGACGATTTAAATACTTTTTTATACTTTTTATTGGCTCTTGTAGTTCACATGTATGTTACGAGTGCACGATTATATGGACACATTAGGCGTTTTATCTTAACATGTAAAGGAACCCCCGAGTGGGTTTGGTGGCCTCCGGACGCGGCTGTTGCGGGTCAGTCACCGCCTGATGCAGGCGGCGCTTCAGTGGTTCCATCTGGTAGGCCTGGTAGAACTCCATCTGGCTGCCCAGGGGAGGCTCCTCCACCTGCTCCAGCTGCGAGGATGCGTAGTCGTGGGTGGGCATGCTGCGGTGCCAGCCGCTCTCGTGACTCGAGTGAACCACCACGTGCTCCGTGCCACCGCCGCTTCCACTACCACTGTGTCCAGTCGAACCCTTTTTTAGACTGCCCTGCGGAGAGAGGCGTAGCGCCAACAATTTGGACGGAACTGTTCTAGGGACAGATTCTACTCACCAGCAAAGAGATGACCAGGGCGATCTTGGCCATGATGAAGGCCGAGCCGGCGATGAGGATGACCTTGCCCAGGAACATTTGGGCCAGAGTGGCCATCATGATCATGCCGCCCATCATGGCCATGTGCTTGTCTTTGTCCTTCTTTTTGCGACCTGTTTTTTTTTTGGAGCAGTTTTTATTTTTCTTTTTATACTTGTCTTTCTTCTTTTTTTTCTTAGATTTTTTCTTTTTTTTAGGCTTTTTCTTCTTAGACTTTTTCTTAGGCTTTTTCTTCTTAGACTTTTTCTGTTTCTTTTTCTTTTTAGACTTTTTCTTCTGCTTATCTTTATCTTTATCATAGGTTGATGCATGCACTTCGAAACTACCCAATCCTCCTATTAACTTATCGACTTTATCATCTACGCTCGCATAAGTACCTTGATCGAAGCCCAGTTCGCTGCCAAAGTCATCGATGGCATTGGAAATGGTCAACTGCCGAGGTAGCTGAAGTCGCAGAGCTCTTCCCTGGACCAACTCCAGCAACTTTCCCGGCAAGCCAGTATCCATCCGCCTCCTCTCCTGATCGTGAGATCCGGTCTGTGGTTCAATGCTTAGGTACTCGCTGATCTGCCAGGTGCTGTTATCCCTAGTGGCACCGTCCAGCAATCGCTCGCTTTCGGAACCCAGACACTCCCAAACCTCTAAGCCACCCAGGCAGTGGGCTATAATCCTGCCCAGACTCCGGGGACTCCATTGGGAAGTGGGCGTCTCACCAGCAGTTTCATTTCCCCGATGAGTCAAGGCCAGGACCGAACTGCCTAGCATTACGCACTGTAGCAAAAGCACACGCCACATATTCCTCTACTATGTTTAATAAGACCTCTTTGAGAGCTTTTTGAACCACAAATAACCCAGACAGTTGGCCTGCCCTGCTATTTATAATGCCAGTGTCTTTCTCGGGGGTAGCAATTAACGCGCTTGTCAAAGCACGACACTGCTCTCTTGATAGGAATCAAATAGAAATGTTTTCAGAAGTTTGCTTGCTGAACCCTGACCCACCGAAAACTGAAACCGAATCATTCGGTTAAGTTAACTTTCATTTTTGGAAAGCACTCACTATATGTGGCTAATTACAGCTGATAAACACTCTAAGAAAATGTTACCCAAAAGATATTTATTAAAGTCACATGCATTTTAATTAATATAACTTTTTTAAATAACCCAAAAATGCATTCCGTTTATATTATTTATATAAATATTTTTTCATTGATACAGATATGACAGATATATTTTGACAAAATTATTTATTTATAAATAAAAGATTCTTAAGATTCTTAAATTAAAATTTAAATTTAACGTTGTTCTACTATTGATCTAAGGTGATTTGTCTAGTTTGAAAGTTAAAAAGAAAACCATATACTTATTCACTAGAGTAACTAATTTTAATTACCCAATACAACGGATTTTCAGGTTTATATATACAAAAGTTCTGTTTTTCGTCGAGTGTAAATTATGCCCTACAGCGATCTCACGTCCACCGCCTGCCAGCCCTCCATTCCATGGGGATCCTGAAAGTTTCTCATCAGAAGTTCGCCCTCCTGCTCCACACTGGCTGCCAATAGTTTGTTAGTTGGCCTGCGTTGGTTTTCAAAGTCGTAGAAGCGGTCTTGGGTGGTTGGTTTAGGGTTGGTTGGCGGTGTTTTGAGCGGCGTATCTGCTCCTCGAGGCTGCTCAAATCTTACCTTTCGCTCACTGCGACGATATGGTGACGTCTCGTGCACATCGTACTGGTGGTGGAGCTCATCCTGGCCTTGGCCAAATACCGTTGTTTTACCAGGAAAATGGCCCACTGGTCGGTGTCCATGAAAGCCGCTGAAACCAAAGTTCGAGCCACCAAAGCTGCCGAAATTAGCGCCTCCAAAACCACCGCCCAACCCACCTAAGCCTCCTAACCCTCCCAACGAGCCCATGATTCCACCTAGTCCCAAAAAGCTGCTCACATAAATCGCCAACTTTACCAAAAACAATGACTTCTTAAGCAGCAGACATATGCCTGCAAATAGCAGGGGAACCAGAGCCACTAGATTGAACTTCAGGCCCAAAAGAAAGGGCAGTAAATACTGCTTGGCCAACACGCGACCTGAAAATGTATAAAAATGTATTAACAATATTATATTGTGATCATTATTTCGTGTCTCTAATAAACAGTCTGGCAATGTGTGCATTTAATTGTGCTTACTTACTTTTGAACAAATATATTGCAAAACATTTAGACATTTAAATACGATTTGTATACCCGTTACTCGTAGAGTAAAATGATATATTGTATTCGTAAACAAGAAAGGAAGCTGGCTTCGGCCAGCCGAAGCTTATATACCCCTGCAGATGAAGTAAATACCTATAGTTTAATGCTCACTCGGTGAGGTTCCAGGGATTCCAGATTCAGCGTGCATATTTGTTTTTAAGTTGTCAAAAATCAAAACGCCTACTTCCTTAAAAGTTACAATGAATTCTTATATTTGTTTGAATATTCCTATTGGAGCCTTTAGATATAGTGGTCCGATCCGGTTCGCTCCGACATATGTACTACCTGCAATAGATAGAAGACTTTCGGGAAAGTTTCATCGCGATAGGTTTAAAACTGAAAGACTAGTTCGCATAGAAACGGACAGACGGACAGACGGTCTGACGGACTGACGGACAGACGGACATGGCTAGATAGACTCGGCTATTGGATGCCATTACTCATCCAATCATATTGATCTGTATGGCAAAGTTAAGCTCTGATCTATTGACTTTAAAATAAAACTAAAACTGGCCCAACCGAGTGGATATCTGCCGAGATATAAGAAGAAATTCGAAAAAAGTCCGAAATTTAACATTTCAAACTTTAAAAAATCTTTTAAAAAAAACTGTGCCATCGAAAAAAAATTAGTGCTATTTTCGTGATCTAGGGGTCTAAGACTAACAAAATTTGCCTTCAATTGCTGGGGAGCATTTCGGCTGTAAACTAGTGTTATCGGGGGCGCGTAAATTTTTTTTAAAAATTGTATTAACAAGCTTAACCATTTTAGAATTACAAAAAAATAATTGTTTTTTAAATTATTAACTTTTATTTTTTGCGTTTATGCCAAAAAAACGGGCTTTTGCCCCATTCAGTAAAAAGTTATGACCAAATAATAAAACTCAAGCAGTGCAAGCAGTCGCTCTGCTGCATGCCTAACTTCGTCTCCCTCGCAATTCCCTGGCTTTTAGGTGTTGCAGGTAATATAATTTTTCCAACTCTTACCAGTTGTGGGATCCTCGTATCCGAATTGTCGCTCCCCCTGCCCGGCTCCATCAAGGACGAACTCCGCCACACTGTTCGCATCCGCTGTGGGTCCAATTTTAAACATCAAACCAGGATAGAGGCCATCCATATGCCACTCGAGACTTCGTTGGCCCATCACGGCGCCCGCGTTCTCCAGAATGCCCCGAAAATCCACGGGATCTGTGTCGAGCACATTTGCCAGAGATCTAACTGCGGCTGTTTCACTTTTGACAGTCACAAAATCGTCCACGAACCGGATGTTATCGCTCTCATCCAATCTCTGGATAAAGTTCAAGGCTGACCGTCCCAGACATTCGCTTAGCTTGGGTTGTTGAGATCCGCGAACACACTGCTTGAACTCCGAACTTATAACCGAAAAGTCACTGCCAATTACGTGGTGGATACCGACCAGGAGCAACACAATATCCAGTGGCGACATGTTGGTCAAGTGTCTGGATCTTGAATGGGCCCGCTGGCCAACTGACCCCTGGGTTTTATATCCGCCACATCTGGTTATACAATAATCAACTGGTCTTTTGGCCAAATCTGCTCCCATTCAGCTAATGCGCTGCTTTTTGCACATGGCCCAATAACGGAAATTGTTTTACATCAACGCCAAGTGGCGGCTCTTCGTCTTCGTCTGCTTCTTATTTAAGCCGGCATGGTCATGGTCAGTGCACACGACCCATAGCTGCGTCGACTGGTGGCCAATTTTTCGCACATCTCTGCCATTATGCAAGGGGTTATTGTTATTCCAAAGAAATTATGAAATACTCGTAGGCGCCACCGTTCGGACCCCCTGGAAAATCTACAATTACCATTGCTAATGCCAGTCCATTAAATAAACGGAGGCGCTTAGAGAATTACCAGAAATGTTCCATCGCTTATACAGAAAAACTTGAAAATTGCCGCCAGTCAATTAAGAAAACAAACAAGCGGAAAGGGGGGAATCAGAGGTACTTTTTTGTGGAATATCTGAGTTTATTGTTCAGCATGATTTATTCATATTTAAAGAAAAGGAAAATGGCAACTATTTTTTGACAAAAAAATGTTATAATTACTACGGTTTTTTATTTTTAAAGAATCAATATTTTTACGGTTTACTAAAAAATATGTAAAAAAACATAAAATTATGTAATTTTTTAAGAAAAACCAAATTTGATTTATTTAATTTTTTAATAAATAAATTGTTTGGTCTTACTTAAAGCATATGATTTTATGAGTTAAAATCCCTACTGGGTGATATACCTAGTATTCATTGTTTGTATTATATATTATATACAAATTATTTTCTTATTAAGCAAGTTAAACAAATTTAGTAGCCTCTATAACCATACCTTAAAGAGTTATACTATTATAAAAAAAAAAAAAAAATAGATTTTTTTTGTTTTCTATATATATCTTCCCCCTTAAGTATAGAAAGTTTCTTTAATATTCCGCATAAATTCCAGTGCAAAAACTTTGCATACTCTTAGGCCGAGAAGGTAAAGACTTAACCGCTGTTTTGGTGATGCCAGCACGTCAGGTGATTTGACTGTAATTGCAAACACATAAAGGTATTTTCTCAGTCTCCGCGGCTGGGAAAATTTAAATATCCACCTTAGAAACTGTCTGACTTCTTAACACCCCAGGGCTCTTGACGAACTCAAAAATCACCCGATTTTACTGACGAAAAGCAGACAAGCGACCAAAGAAAGTTTGAGGTGAATCTGTCCCCTCATCCTCGAAAATCATCCCTTCCACTCAGACAGGTTTCAAGGAATTTTGGCCCTGGATTTTTGGTTTCATCTCTGCGGCTGTCGCCGAAAACTTTTGTAATTTGGCTAAAGTTTTGTTTCGCTTTATTGGGAGGTGGCGTGCAATAGCAATGGCCGACAGCTAATAAATTTCGAATTGCAAAGCGACAAAAAAAGAAATTGTATTAATAAACACTTTCACCGCAAATACTTGAAATTCACGGCCAGTTGCCTGCAGTTGTTTACAAATAGTTAGCGGCGAAAAAAAGACATTCGAGGCGGACGTTCAGACCTTTTGGCCATTTTGAGCTCTGGGGTTTGTCGGCTTTGGCCATTTATATGCCGAATGACGATGCCGACGGGCCATGGCAATGGCCATAAATTGCAGCAGCGGGGCGTGCTCCCAGTCTGCGAGTGGAGTCCACGCTCCCATCCACACACCCAATTTGTTTGGGGCGTACGTGTTGCACTGCGAATGCAAAAGCAGAAGGCAAAAAGCAGGTCGCAACTTTCATTAGATTTTCCCGAGATGTCGAAATGTCGAGATGCGAGCCAGTTTCTGGAGCGACATCGGATATATATAAATGGCTGTATGGAATGGTATAACTATGACTGACCGGGGATGGGGCTTCTGAGGCTTCACGCCTGGCTGGCTCAAGTGAAATCCGGCGATCTTGCTCCGTGATTTTGTGTGTCGCCCATGCAATTGATATCGCTGGCCCAGTTCACCTTAGCCGGCGAGTAAAAGAGTGAAAGAGTGAAAGCATTTCGCTGCGTATGAGTGATATCCCATTGAAAGACACCAAGACACCAAGTTCGAGATAAATGCGGCATTTCTTTTATTGATTTGTGTGTTTTTGGGGGCGTGGCCAGGGGGCTTTTCCTGCGCCTAGCGGCAGTTCAGAGTTAGGCAGTGCAGTTTAATAGTTTAGTGTGAGAGTCGAGTTAGACTAAGCGTAGAGTTGTAAACAGTAAAGCTCTGAGTATTAATACAGCAATTGCAGTCATTTTAAGATTAGATTAAACGGCGCCAGGTGTCCCCCTTGGCGGCAGCCCCTGGCTGCTTATTTCCTAGACCTATTTGCTCTGGGTTCTGGGTTTTTATTTCATTTCTGGTTTTCCTTCTATTTCTCTTGATGGCGCCTTAAGTGTGTAAGCCTGGCATGAACTATGCTATACAAATAAATTAAATAAATAGAATAAATTAGACGGCCCTCCGAGTATTGCACTGATCAGTTGCCTCAGCATTCAGAATTATTTGGCATGATTAGCTTATTGCTTATACGCCGCGTAGGCCAGCTGCTGGGCCTGGGAGTCGTCAGCCGGCAGCGAGCGTCCGTAGCTGTGCTCGTGCTCGTAGTGCGGGTGCGCCACCACCTCGTAGTTCTCCTTCTTGGACTCGAGCAGCTTCTTCAGCCCGATGATGCCGGACAGCAGCAGGGCGATCTTGCCGATGACCAGGGCCTTGAAGGAGATCAGGGCCAGGAAGCCGATGGCCAGGGGCAGCAGGGCGGCCATCTTCAGCTTGAAGAGCATCAGCAGGGGCATCAGGTACTTCTTCTTCTCCTTCTTCTTGCCGCGGGCTGAAATCGGGGAACAAAAGCACAAGCCCATTTGAAATTCGAGACTTACGATTTGCATTACTTTCGCTGGACCCAAGCCGACCGCTCATTAGCAACTGGAGCACAGATAATTAGCCAGCGAACAGGATCGACCGCTTTCTATGTGGCTGCGTTTAGAAATTGGAAATCGGAAATTGCAGCCGCCGCGCTGCGCACAAAAAGAAAGTAAGCCTCGCTAACTGGCTGACTAAAGTGCAATTAATAGCCAACTATCTGGATAACCAGCTGCCAATGCACCGCTATGTGCATGGCTACATGGCTAGATGGCTGTGGCCATGTGGCTGCATCACAGGATGACCTCGATATGGCGGCGACTTAACAGTGAAAACAGGATTTGTGCCGGAGCCATCTGCCCGAACTGGTCGCTTGCATTACTAACCCAAATTGGCAAAGAGCTGGCCCGACCAGAACGGTAATGTATGTGGGATCGGGATGGGATGGGCGATAGATGTACGATACTCACATTCCTCGAGGGCGCGCTGCATGTCCTGGATGGAGTCCTTGGGCACCTTGAACTGCAGTGTGTGGGTGCCGAAGAAGCGGGCCACCCGCTCCACCAGCAGGGAGTCGACCTCGGCCTCCCGGGCCTCGACCTCCTCGGGCAGCTGCATCTCGTTGAGGGACCGCCCCACCGGGATCTCATCGGTCTTCACCAGGGCAATGCCCTCGGTCAGCCGCACATCGCCGTTCTCGGTGTCGAAGTAGTGCAGGGCTCGCTCCTTGGGGTTGATTTTGGATTTGGTTAGGGATGGAGATCGGTTTTTCGGTTTGGGGACCGGGCCCCCGGATTCGTTACCTTCATGCACAAGACCATTGAGCGCTCGCCGCAGTCCTTGACCATCTTCAAGGCGCTGGTCAGCAGGCTGTCCGCTTCCGAGGCAGCCGCCGCCGTGGAGGCGATCAGCGCAAACAGGCAGACAAACTTGAACATGGCTCTGGATTCGGGTGGGTATTTCCTCGATTCTAGTATATTTCTCACAAACACTTGGCACTGGCTCGCAGCTTTGATATCCTGCCACTTCCTGGCGATTCTGTGTGTTCACTTGATTGAGTGCACTGCGCTCGATTGGCGTGTTCGATCTGTCGGTCAGAAGGCAACCGGTAAACTGTGGCTAGAAGACGCACGCGGATCGAGTTTTATTCCCGGCCAGCAGAGCGGCAGCAGCGTTGGCCAGCAGCGACGACAGCGTTGTCGTTGTCGTTGTCGCTTTAGCGCTCTGCAAGTGGTCCGAACCCCTGATTCCCCCGGTTGCCCCCAGTTGCGCCACCCCCCCTCGCACACAGTAGCCGAGCTTAGAATTTAAATAAACAAGCCGACGCCGAACCCGGCCAGGTTGCAGCCGAAGTCGCAGTCCCAGTCGAAGACCAGCGCGAAGTGGCCAGCCAAGGCGCAGCAGAGACACCTGGACAGGTGCGCCGCAGTCGCCGTTCACGCCGGCAGAGCTTGTCGGATTGGCAGTTGTTGTTTGTCAACACACTTCGGCGGCAGTTAGCTGTTTGCCTGCCACAGGGAGGAGGCCAATTGATCAGCAAGCTCTTAAATATTGAATTTACTTGTACTGGGACCGTTTGAATCGAGTGGCAGGGCCTTTGGGACAGAAAGTGATGGGACAACACCTGCTCGGATTATTACCCGCCCTTCGCAAATTAAAAAAATACGCCTTTAATTAATCCTTCGTGATGAAAGCTTACCACAAGACCATTATTTATTTAAAGGCAGCATCTAAATAGCGAGTTTACAAGGCTTTAAATTGATGGAAGTTCTTAGTTAGGGATATAATGACAAGATAAAAACTTAAGGGAGCTTTGACAAAGTAAAATTAGATGAATATATATGGGCACTTCCAGAAAAAAGTCCACCAAGCCAAAAACCTTGCAACTTGAAAAAAACATATTTCCACATGATTTTGCCCCGATATTAGTTTCTAATTAGATGGATACTGACCTTAACTACAAATTAGGAGTATAGTTTGATTATTTTTATGACAAACCCCACCAATATACGCAAAAATCAGTTTTTGGCTATTTTTTTGTAATTTTTTGGACCTGTCTTCTGTTGTTAATTTATCCTATAGGAATGCTAATATGTGACATTTTTCTGTACTGAATGATTCATTCACATGCTAAACTATTATGTTAAAGTCAAAACATCCAGCAATTGAGAGATAGAGGTAAAGAAATCCGCTTTACAAAACAGTCGGAAAAAATGTCCCGAGCGACATGTCCCGAGCGAATGTGGTTGAAACTGCATAAAAAAAAAACGTCAAAGAATTTTTAAGTAAAACCAAAAGCATTTCACAGCGACATGTTTGAACAACATTCTAAAAAAAATCGCATTCAAATATTCCATCAGAATTCGCTAATTTCTGGTGTTGTATGAACTTCCCCGAAATCCGCTTCTACTTTTGTCCCGAGCGAATACGGCAGTTTTTTACCGATATCTTAAAAACTAAAAGTGGTACAAAATGAAGATTTTTACAAAAAATAGAGCTTGGGATGAGTGAAAATAAAAACCCATAATTAAAACTAAAATCCATTGTTTTACAATTTTTTATCAACTTTAAAGGTGTGCAAATGTCCCGAGCGACATTTTGGAAGTGCCCATATATACTAATTTCATTTAAAAAATTAAAACTAATATAATAAAACAAAGTTTTATAAAAGGGCTAATAAATAATTTGTTTAATTTATTGAGTTAGTAAAGGAATATTTTTTAGTATCAATTAAATCAACCAAAGGTTTTATAAAATTTAAATCATCCTTTTTAATGTCCCTTTTACTACATTTATATATGTATATATGTACCTATTAAAAGAACGTTCTTCATCAATAAAATCCTACTGTATTATTAATTAAAATATGGTTTAAGCAATTTTATTTGATATACAAACTTTTATAATATCAAAATTGTATTAGAACTTACAACATGGTCATGCATTCATGTTCTTACCAAAACCGAGTAAAGTTAATGAGCTGTAAAGTGGTTAGGGTGTTTAAGGCACCTTTGGGGCGCCACCTGATGATGGCATACTTTTCGCGCTGAGTAAGTCTCGGGTGCAGCAGAAAGTGTTGCAGTGGTTTCATTTCAAATTGCAGTTGCCCACACACATACTGTGGCAATCTTGGCGGGGGTGGGCGGTGGGCGGTTAATCAAGAGCGCCATTTAAGATAGCCATGGTCGAAAGCAACGCCACTCGAATTGGAGTAAAATAGAAAATTAACTAGTTTGCTAGCGCTGCGGCAGCATGGTGGAAGAAATTTCACTTTAATTTTGCTTTTTATTTATGTGTTTGTTTGTGCCTCCAGCGGGCATCTCGCATAATGTATCTGCAGTTTTATATGCCAATCCGATCGCCAGTCGGACAGACAGTTGCACAGAGACTCTCGCACGAGAGTTTCATTGGCATTATGTCGCTTTAATTTGCAGCACTCGAAAATTGCCACACGTCGTATCTGCTTCTCGTCTCATCGCTCCATCGTTCATCGTTCATCGTTGCCGGTAATTTACGCATTAGACAAGTGCCCCAAAAGAAAGCTAAGCCACAGATTTGCATGCTGCCCAAAACAACAAGCCGCTGAAAATAAAACACACAGCTCACATCTAGATGCAAAGCCACTCGACATTTCGCAGACGATTATCCAAAGCGGCAACATGAGCCCAAAATCCGTTGACGGAATTTGTAAATGCCCTGCACGTGGACATAGATGGATGGGGATATGAATGCCATGTCACGATATGTCATGGTGAATGTCCTCTATTGCCCTTTTTCCAAAAATAGCACCGACTTATCACTAAAACCTAAAAAAAATTTAGTTATCTAAAAGTTCAATGCAGGATCAAAATATGTTTAAGAAAAAAAATTAAATATATACAAAAACAAAAAATCGTTTCCGACCCTATAAACTATATATTTTCTTGATCAGGATCACTAGCCGAGTCGATCTAGCCATGTCTGTCTGTCCGTCTGTCCGTCTTTCCGTCTGTCCGTCTGTCTGTCCGTCTGTCTGTCTGTATGAACGCTGAGATCTCGGAGACTATAAAAGCTAGAAGATTGACATTTTGCATGCAGATTCTAGGAGTTCCTACGCAGCGCAAGTTTGTTTCAAAATGGTGCCACGCCCTCTCTAACGCCCACAATCGCTTATATACGATTTTAAAAATTTCAATATTTCGGAAAAGCAAAAATGCAGTTTTATTGTGTTTAGCAATACCTAACGAAATAAAGAAGAAATTTTTTAAATCGGACCATTCGTTAAAAAGTTACGTCGGATCAAAGTTTTTATCTTCATCTCCTTCGCACTCCCTTTAGCTGAGTAACGGGTATCTGATAGTCGGGGCGCCCGACTATAGCGTTCTCTCTTGTTTATTTCCTATTATATTCCTATTAATTTTCCGATCGTTCCTATGGCAGCTATATAATATATCCGTCCGATTTAAAAAAAAATTTATTCGAAATTCAGAATTAGATAAAACCTTTTTTTTAACCACCTTTTTTAAATATCTCAGAAAGAGTATTATTCAGTCAACAATGACAGTATCTTGAGGCCCAACTCTACATACAGACTGAATATGTTAGCTTTGTGCGTGCGCAATGAAAGTGAAAAAGTAATATCATCGCTAACATTTTTTACAATTTAAGCTACGGCACTTCAAACATTGTGTGATGCAATATTGAAATAATGCGTAACTTTAGTTAAGGTTTAATAGAAAAAAGGCTAGCAATATTTTTGAGCACTCTTAAGAGAGATTAGTAATTGTATTTTAATTTAATGGCTTTTATAAGCCGGCTATTTTCCATAAATCCGTTCATCCGTTCGACACTTCAACTGAGTGTGCTCAATTAATTCGCAAGCTGCCTCCTGATGTCCCCCTCTCGCCAGTCAACGGCCATTTCGCCGGCTGACCCAAATCGGCATGCGAAATATTCGCTCTAGAGATAAAGCCAACTTTAAAGCATCGCACATTCACGGCAAACAATCCCCAATTTCGGCCCACCCGCTCGGCCCCACCCCAACCCTTTCCAGTGGCATCTTCAAAATTGACACCTCTTCAAAGTTTCACTTTCATTCCGCTTGGCTGGCATGGAATTCCGGGTAAAGGCAGCTCAGCTCCGGCTTTAGTTTACAGCTCCGGCGCTGTTTACATGCCGCTGCCCTGGTGCGCTTGAGTAATTTTCAATTAATGAAAGTCCCGGGCCGATGACGTCAGTAGTGCGGCAGCAAAGGGCACCCACAACTAAATGGCCAAATGGCCGAGGGGCCTGGGAATGTCGTTGGCCAGGTTCAATGTTCTACTCTGAGCAGCTCATTAATATTTCGTGCAGTGCCCCAAAAGTGAAATTGTCGCATACCAAAGAAGGCAGCCACAACAATGGACGGGGAGCAAAACCAGAGAAGCTAGGAAAGTGGCCCAGGCATATTTTATCCATGAATATTGCATTCAGAAAATGCAAGCCAACACAAATCTGCACGTGCAGCCGAGGTAAAATTCTGCATATTATTGTTGGAATTTAAAATTAAATTAAGCGAAGGAATCAAAAATCTATAAAATAATTAAGTTAATGTTTTAAGTTCTTTGAACTTTAATTATATTTTTTTAATATAAATAAACTGTTAGCACTCTTCAATTAAAAATTTAAGAACTCACTATTACTTCGGCCGCAGCTGTAAGTACCTAAAATATGTATGGGTCTGTAATTGAGTTTGGTAGAAAGCGAAGCAGCTTCGTCTGCCATTTTTGGCACGCACGTAAGACCGTTTCAATGAAACTTTAATTGTTATCATAAATTCATGTTCAGGGAGCGGCAGTGACACCAGAAACAAGTCATCTTGATGTGATTTTCGAGTAGCAGAATTTTCTATATTTAATTATCGCTTACTTAAACCTAACACACACATTTAGTTCGTTAAATTAATGATCGATTAGGCGAATTAAACTAGACATTAGTCAGACAGTTCGTGCGGCGCTCGATTCTTTGGTTCACTCTCCACAAATATCTCTCCTTTTCATCTCCGTTATCCAAATGCAAATGCGAGCTCACAGGCTCTTGGCGCTGCCCGCCGATTCTTTGGCCGCCGGCTTCCAGCCACTGTAGGCGGTGTCCAGCTCCCGACCCCAGCCGGAATGGCTGCCCGAGGAGACGACCACCTCGTGGGAGGACTCCTTTCCGCCGCCGCCTCCACTCAGGAGCTTCTTGATGCCGATGATCGAGGCCAAGACCAGGGCCAGCTTGGACACAATCAGCGCCTTGCCCGCCAACATGGCCAGTGCTCCGTATGCCAGGGGCACGATGGTCCCGCCCAGCAGCAGGGGGATCATGATCATGGCGCCGCTGCCCTTCTTCTCCTTCTTCTTGCGACCCTCCACCGAATTTGCCTCGGAGTCAAATTTCACCTGGGAAAAATGGAAGAAAATAATGAAGAGCCTATTTCAGGATTTGAAGCTTACTCAAATATAAAACTAAACTTTTTATTTTTAGCAACTTAAACATGAAATACTAATATATTAAAAGTTCAGTTGTGTTGTTCTTATTACATAAGTTAAATGTGAACTGGTAATTTATTTTTTTAAATGGGTAATTTTTTTATTTTTTTTCATTTTATATTTTTAGTTTTGTTGTTTTCTTTTTTTTACTCACCTGCAGAGTATGATCCTGTAGGAAGTTTCCCACCCGCTTCAGGATCATGTTGTTCAGCACCTGCTCCTTGGCGTCCACGCTCCTTGGCAAGACGGATTCAATGTCTTGTTCGTTGATGGGAGCCCTCTTAGGTTCCTCACTTTCGCCGCCTGAACTCACAAACTGAATCCCCTCCGTGAGCGACAGAGTCTTGGCCGATCGGAAGGCCTTTTCCAAACCGGTTAGCAGTTTGACCTTGAGGCAAACGGACATGTTATCGCCAGTGCACTGCTGGTAGATGCGGTACACCAGCGACATGTCCTTCCAGAAGCCCGTAGAACCCAATCCGGGGTTATTGGCTGGGACTTGGGGCTTGGGGGCCGAGCTCAGGCTGTTCAGGTTCTGATGCTGGTAGCTGGCACTGCGGGCACTCGAGAGCCAGCAAAAGACGATCATCAGGGCCGCCACATGCCAAACGTACTTGATCATGACTGTGCTGTCTGTTGCTATTCGGAGCTGGACGAGAAGAGGATCCTTGGGCGATCCTTGGGGTGAGGCATAAACTGGAGAGATGACGCCGGGCGCTGCTCTTTGGGTGCTCAACTGAGTGCTGGCCGGTGGATCTTATGCATTTTATACCTGTGGCGGAAAAATCGCATGTCGGCCGGCAGCCTGAAATTGAAAAAACACAAAAACACACGCTTTGTCTTAGTCTAAATATCACGGCAATTAGCCAGATGTTGTTGGCCAGTGGGGCTGCGCTTTCGTGATTTCGCTGCGAAAGCCGCCGAAATGCAGTTTCGTTTGCAATTATTCCCACTTTTTAGCTCATTCTAAGCGATTGAGCTCGTGCGTGACTGCCGTTGCCATTGCCATCCTTCACTGTCTTTGCATCCAACTTACTAGACCGTAAACAGAGGCATTTTCGGTTTTTTCAAAACACTTTTGGGGCAAATTCACTGTCATCACCCAATTTGGCCAAGACTTTTCTTTTTTCTTATGCACTTTGACAATAGAAAGTTTTTGCTGCCTACTTTTTGGTGCTGCTGAGAAAAAGTGCTGAACATGAAACGAAAGAGTTAAGACACGAACTCGATCGCACTCAACGAAAGTAGGGAAAAGCTTTCAACTTTTTCATATATTTTTGCTTTGGTGCAATGGCCAAAAGATGGCGTTTATCATAGGTGAAATGTTAATAATAAGGTGTCAAGAACAAACACACATAATAAGTAATAATTGGTAAAGGTGCTAAACCCAGAAAAAAAAGACCGAATTTCGGCGAATTGCGAATTGCGGCTGCTGTATCCAAACATTTTGACGCACAAAAAGTTTTTATATGGAAAACCTCTGTGTCTCCACCGACAAATTCAAATTCAAAAACCTTTGTCCGAACCCCAATTTTTTTTTCTGCATCTTTTTTATAATGAATCAAATTTAATTTTTAAATGGGTTTGAACTCTGTAGCTGGTGAAGAACACTGAAAAAATACACTGAAAAAAAGTATTGCTATTTTTTTCGGAAAATAATTTTTATAAAATTTTAATATTCAATTCTTGATCTTTTAATGAAAACATCATAAAGATATCTTTTTCCGTTACGAAAATATACAAAAAGGAGTTATAGCACCTTTTTTTAAAAAGATCAAAAAATGCTGTTTTCTGACCCCTATAACTCCGTTGAAACTCAAAATTTCTCAAAACCGTTCAAATGAAGTTTTTTTTGTCGTTGTGAACCGGAAAAATAAAAAAGTTTGACGAAAATCGGACCTTTGAATCGGGGGTGGCAGACTTGGGATATTTTGACTCTGCTACCATTGGACAATAAAACGGACTTTAGAGGTTGTAAAAAGAAAAACAAGAGAGAACGCTATAGTCGGGTGCCCCGACTATCAGATACCCGTTACTCAGCAAAAGGGGGTGCGAAGGAGATGGAGAAAAACTTTGATCCGCCGTAACTTTTTAACGAATGGTCCGATTTAAAAAATTTCTTCTACATTTCGATAGGTATTGATAAACACAATAAAACTGCATTTTTACTTTTCCAAAATATTGAAATTTTTAAAATCGTATATTAGCGATTGTGGGCGTTAGAGGGGGCGTGGCACCTTTTTGAAACAAACTTGCGCTGCGTAGGAACTCCTAGAATCTGCATGCAAAATGAAAATCTTCTAGCTTTTATAGTTTCCGAGATCTCAGCGTTCATACAGACAGACAGACGGACAGACAGACGGACAGACGGACAGACGGACATGGCTAGATCGACTCGGCTAGTGATCCTGATCAAGAATATATATAGTTTATACAGTCAGAAAAAAATCGCCCTAGATTTTAGAAAATCGCCATACCTTGAAAATCGCCTTACAATTCAGAAAAAAATTCTATTTTTCAGAATTATTTTTCTAAAAATAAGATATTTTTACCCTGATAATTCGGTTTCCTTTTTCAGTATATTTTTTAGAAAATTTTCTTTGAATTTAAGAAAAAAATGGCTATAAGAATGTGATTTTAGAAATTTTTACCCTAAATTTTAGGAAAAAAAAATTGGATGAATGTCGAGTGCCAAACTTATTTGGAAAAACGCCATAAAAACCACAAAATGATGTCGTTTTCGGTATATACAATGTGTTAGAATCTGGCCACACTGTCGACGCCTGCGTTTATTTCTCGCGTGGTTCTTGTGAAATTCTTGCAAAGTTCCTGTGTTATTCGTGTGAGTAAAAGTTTTAACAAAATGGACAACTTATTAAGCCAATTGGAGGTCAGCAGTTTGTTCAACTTTTTAATGGTAAGTTATTAACTATTAAATTTCCTGTTAGCATGTTGTAATTGTACTTAGAAAATACCCGTAAGAAGCTGGAAAAGTTTCATTCATGTGCTTTGTCTTCTTCTTCTGCTGAAGAAAAAGTAGAAGACTATGTATGTATGTATGTGTGCGTAAAAAAGTGCAAGATATATATAGGTCATAAAGAAGTTACATATGTATGTTTTTTTATAAAATGATTTTTTTTATTGTGTGACTGTTTAAAAAAGTGCAAGACATACATGCATATTGTCATAAAGAAGTTACATACTTATGCACATATGTATGTTTTATTATAACATGCTTTTTTCATTGTGTGACTGTTTGCCTTAAATGTTTATTTATTTATGTACAGTGGCTCACAGCTTATTTCGTGCAGAGGTAAACTTAAAATTCAAACTCGTATAGCTAACAAACTATACGATAATTTACCAAAATTTAAATGCAGTTATGTTAGGTAGTATTCTGGTCCTTATTAACCCACTTCTTTATTTTTAGATTCCATAGAATAACACTTAAAATTAAGAAAAACTAAAAAAATTGACTTTTTTAATGTCACAGCATATTTCGTGCAAAACTTTAAAATTATTATTATTTGTAAATTATGGCTCAAAATGTGTTTTTTTAATTTCTTCATTGAAGCGCCTATTTTTAACAATTTTTTTGGAATTTTAATTATGTCAAATACACTAAAAAAAAAAAGTTACATGCAAAAAAAATAAAATAATCAATTACAATGTTTAAATGTATATTTTCGTATTAAAAATGTCCAAAATTGTATCTTAAATTTGCAGAATTTATTGAGCAAGGACCCAGTTCTCAACTATCCATGATCAAACGCTTCTTACAAAGGAATTAAGTGGTACCAATAGGCCCAAAATGCATCCTGTACAATAGTATCTGAACCGGAACAGACTTAAAATTATTAAAATAGTATAGTAAAATTTAACATTATGGTCTTCAAAGTTGGCTAATGTCAAAGGTACATGTTTCTAGAAGCTATTTTTAAAAAAAAATTTAATTTGAAGTCCCTAAAAACATCTGACATGCCCAAACCCTATCACAACCCGCCACTTTGCTTAAGCGTAGATTTTGAGCGTTTGTGGGGTCCTCGGAACTCCGTCAGGATCATACATGGTGCATACAAGTAAACCAATATTTAGTCAGTGAGGGCTTAAAAGCAAATATAAAATCATTCCAGATGAAAATTTGACGAATATCGAGCTTCCTGGCTATTTTTCATCTGCTGAGCATATACTTGTAGGTAATAAATACTTTATTTCGGCTTGATTGGCCAATAATGTTGTGATCTCGCTGTAAGAGGCGGAAATTTTGTTCTAAACATTATTAGACCATTTCGTTGCGAACAATTACAGCCAACTTTGAAGCCCGTACTGTTAAATTTACTATACATTTTTAATAATTTTAAGTCTGTTCCGGTGCAGATACTATTGTACAGGATGCATTTTGGGCCTATTGGTACCACTTAATTCCTTTGTAAGAAGCGTTTGATCATGGATAGTTGAGAACTGGGTCCTTGCTCAATAAATTCTGCAAATTTAAGATACAATTTTGGACATTTTTAATACGAAAATATACATTTAAACATTGTAATTGATTATTTTATTTTTTTTGCATGTAACTTTTTTTTTTAGTGTATTTGACATAATTAAAATTCCAAAAAAAATTGTTAAAAATAGGCGCTTCAATGAAGAAATTAAAAAAACACATTTTGAGCCATAATTTACAAATAATAATAATTTTAAAGTTTTGCACGAAATATGCTGTGACATTAAAAAAGTCAATTTTTTTAGTTTTTCTTAATTTTAAGTGTTATTCTATGGAATCTAAAAATAAAGAAGTGGGTTAATAAGGACCAGAATACTACCTAACATAACTGCATTTAAATTTTGGTAAATTATCGTATAGTTTGTTAGCTATACGAGTTTGAATTTTAAGTTTACCTCTGCACGAAATAAGCTGTGAGCCACTGTATGTAGATTTAAAATTTGATCAAAATACTTTGTTGCACCTAACATGGGAACAACTTCGAACCGAAATTCCTAAGGAGCTAGTTGGAGTAGGAATAGTTATACCCGTTACTCGTAGAGTAAAAGGGTATACTAGATTCGTGCAAAAGTATGTAACAGCTAGAAGGAAGCGTTTCCGACCCCATAAAGTATATATATTCTTGATCAGGGTCACTAGCCGAGTCGATCTAGCCATGTCCGTCTGTCCGTCTGTCCGTCTGTCCGTCTGTCTGTCTGTCCGTCTGTCCGTCTGTATGAACGCTGAGATCTCAGAAACTACAAAAGCTAGAAGGTTGAGATTTCCCACACATATTCTTTGGCTTCCTACGCAGCGCAAGTTTATTTTAGCCGAGCGCCACGCCCCCTCAAACGCCCACAATCGCCCACTAACGATTTTAAAATGGTTCCTGCGCCCACATCTTTAAAGATTTCCGGGAAGTATAAATGCAATTTTGTTGTGTATATTTATACCTATCGAACATTTGTAACATTTTTCAAATCGGACCATTCATTAAAAAGTTATACGCAATCAAAAATTATATATCTATCTCCCTCGCACTCCCTTTAGCTGAGTTACGATGATTAGTCGGGACACCAACCCGACACAGCGTTCGCACTCCCTTTAGCTGAGTGACGGGTATTAGATAGTCGGGACAACAACCCGACTATAGCGTTCTCTCTTGTTTTTTACTCGTGTGTTTGTGTTTGTCTACAGTAGTGCGACACGAGTTCGCAAGAATGCAATTGCGCGAGCGAGATGCTTATAGTTAAAAATGGTTTTTAACTGTGTATAGTCCTCCCACTCGCACTTGTGGACTCGTAATGTGATTTCTAATAAATTGC